TGAGTCGATTTTGAAAATTCAAAAACCGTTGGAAAGATATTGGTTGGGGAATCGTGCTGATTTGGTAAAGATCGGCCGGGCTGTTTACTTGTAATAAAGTGTTAAAAATTCGACGATTTTCATGATTCTTTTACCGACGGTAGATACCATAGTCTTCTAGATCATACTAAAATATTACATCCCTACGACAACTCGTTTGACTTTAAAAATTCGTCGAAGTTTACAAAAACTGATATCGTTTTTTGGCATTTGTCAAAATTAAACCTTTGATCGACGTTTTCTTAAAAACGCCTGAACCGATTTCAGAAATTTAAAAGCCATTTGATGTATTTCGGTGAAGACTATCGTTTGTCAGTTTTGTGCAACGATCGGACGAGCCGTTTCTTTGTAATTTGAAAAAAAGTGTTAAATTTTTCGTTCACATTTAGGCTCATACACTACCAAATCGATTTTAAACTAGTTGAAAGTGCATTTAGCCTTAAGGCAAGTTGCATGAAATTTCCGAAATGTATAAATAATATATTTAATTTTTCCGACTTTAGAATAAGCTATTATGATCTGTCTTTCATAATAATTTTTTATTATATAAATTATTAATATATCACTGTTATTGATTATTAATAAAAAAACATATTTTATATATATTTTTTTATATAATAATCAGAATACATAAGTGATTCATTGTGACAAAATTGTATCGACTCATACGCTCATACACGAACAATAAAAAAAATTAAATGAAAATAAAATAAATGAAAAAGTTTTTAAAAAAGGACTCTTCTCATCGGTACATGTTATATGCTTGGTAAAATTTTAAAGAGTGAATAGTTTTTGTATGTATAGATATAGATAAGGAAACTCTACCGAGCCGTTTTCTTGTAATTAACTGTTGAAAAAGAAATTACGTCGATTTTTATGGAACTTTTTTTGGCGATATATATAATGGTCTTATAGAACTTACTGAAATATTACGGCTTTACGACAAGTAGTTTAATTTTAAAAATTCATCAAAGTTTGAGAAGATGAGTAGTTTTTTTGACTTTGTTAAAATTAAAATTAGACGACTTACTTGGTATAACGATAGAGTACTTGGTCTTAATGAACATACTAAACCATTAAAGTCCTACAAAAACTGGTTCAATTATAAAAATTATTGATTTGTGAAAATTTGCTTTTAGAAAATACTCCGAGTCAAAGTGTACGTTCGTTTTCTTATTATGTGTAATAAATCCACTCGGAATACTTTTAATCGCTCATAAATTAATTTATATTTTATTGATTAAGTCGATTATTTACACATATCGGGAACTTCATGCAACTTGCCTCAAGGCAAAATAACAATACCAACTAGTTTATTATTAATGCCACTTACACTTAGTTTTGGACTATTGCAAAAGACTTTGGGTGCTGAAAATGTCATGTGGTCCCACGTGCGAGATGCATTATGAATGTTAATAAATTCAATTATTATTATTATTTCATTGCATTATTAATTTATTATTCAGACATCGTACAGTCGTTGAGAATGGACACATAAATATATGTATGTAAATTACTGTCTTGTGTCGACATAGGATAATATATATATATATAATATATATATATATATATATATACTAGCTGGCCCGGCAAACGTTGTTTTGCCAAAAAAATATTTCTAGTATAACATGTTCAATACGAAAATAACTAACTGATTGCAAATGTGGTGCAGCAGCAAACCAAAAATATTAGGTTGTCAAATATCTCCCTTCCGCCTTTTTGTATTATAAACCAAGAGCAAAAAAGCGGAAGGGAGATATTTGACAACCTAATATATGAATAGTTTACCCACTGCAAAGTACGCCACATACAATTGTCTTTGCAAGTGCAAACCTAATAATTTTAGATATTTTTTTTATCGAATGGGAATCATTTGGGCCCCTGGGAGCAAGGAAATTCGATATTAAGGATCACCATAATATAAACATATATATATATATATATATATATATATATATATATATATATACAGGGCCGGTCCTACTTTGCGTGCAATGCATGCGAAAAATGCGGGCACGCGCTTTAGGGGGCGCCAAAACGAGATTCGGAAATAAAATTTATAATATATTATTTATAATTTTTTTAAATATAAATCAATAATACTTAATTGATTATAATGAACAATCTAATTTAACTATGGATACGAAGATACAAAAAGCATATTCAGTTTGCAATGTGATATCAATCAATCGATCAATCAATCAATCAAATTAATTTAACCAAATAATAACTCTGAAAATTTGTAAATTATTGTTCTACTTACTGTCCAAAGTACTTTTAAATTTTGTTCTTCGTTTGAAGTTAACGTGGAATCAAAAAAGAAAATATTTAGTGTTTAATCCCGTAAGAGCAAACCTACGAAAGTTTAAATTAATTATTGGCTGTTATTGGTGAAAAATGGCGAGCTGATTATAGAACTTGTTAAAAAAATAGATAGAGCTTAGAAAATGACTTATTTATTCCGAAAAATTAAATTGTAACTTTTGTTTTTGCTGCAAATGTTTCGCATCTAATGAACTTTTGATTTTTTTATTTTAATGGTTAAGTTGGATCAAATATGAAAAATGGAAGCAAAATTTACTTTGAAACAAAAATCGTTTATCTTTTTTAGACCTAGTAGTTCCCATACACTAAATTTGTCATTTGATATTAACTATGCAGAAATAATACAGATTTAGATAATAGTTTTTTTTCATTTAGTTAAAAAAATATGTAATTTCTTTGCATGTTTCATTAATCTTTGAAAATACTTTCAAAATACGTTGAAAATGTAACTCTAAAACAACAATCTAAAAATGGGAAAGTTGAGATGAATACAATTTGGCCCTTACGATATCAATAAGGAGCAGTTTGTGCTGCAATTTTGGATAATAAAAAAATAAATTAAATTTAAATTTAAAAAATCCAACAGGAAATACTAGTGTTATGTTTAAAAATGAAAGGCTAGTTTTTTTTTGCTCTCTTGGCATAAATTTCTCAATAGAATAGATCGCATAGTATATAGGTAAAATGTTTCAAAACCCAAATACTAATATTAGACATACGTTAGAAATATTTGAAAATTTAAACATATTTTATTATGACCAACTCACGAATTGCCTCGATTTTCTATAAAAATTTAAAATCAATATATTTCATACGCTTTTACATAATATAAAATTTTTTATGTACTAAATCTAAAATGATTAACAATAATTAAAAAATTTACGTTTTACTGTTTTAACAGTTAAAATTATTGCGGGGGGCGCTAGAAAAAAAATTGCATGCGGGCGGGCGCTGAGGACCCCAGGACCGGCCCTGTATATATATATATATATATATATATATATATATATATTTAGATGTAAAATAATTGTTTTAAAATCGGTTGACAGGAAATGTTCGTTTAATGTCGTTTAGTCAGACCGTCCATACATTCATTATATATATAATATATATATATATATATATATATATATATATATATATATATATATATATATATTTCTTGTGTGCGGGTGTATGATTTGATACTTCTTCTAAACGGTTGTTCGGTTTTTGATAATTCTTTCTGAAGTTTGTTATGGAAATTTTTAAGATTTAATGAACGATAAAACTATAATAATAATGTAACACTTATCATTGTTCGACATTGAAAACATTTGTAGAAATGTCAATTCACTTGAAATTTGAATTTAGCTGCAATTATGAGCCTAGATAATATTAGAATGTAATATACAAGAAAAATGTAATGTCTACTTTATTATTGCCGAAAAGCAACCGAGATGTGCCAGAAATTAAAATAAAAACCAATGACTAATATATAATAGTTAATGTTGCAGTCAAACATTTATCTTGCATCCTAATCAAATAATGATGGAAATTTATTATTTCAGATAAACCCCATCTTATCAGTTTAAGATCGTTCTAAATTGTATATTTATATGGTATTATAATTGTGTTTAATGTGCACACGGTACTACTGTTGGTACAGCCATCACAAATCTCAAAAGTTACAACAAATAATTTAATGGTCGTTATCAAATCAAATATTGTAAATATAAATGTGTACATTTTCTCGTTCTTATCGCGATAACAATATTATTCCTTGGAAATGGACTTATTCGGATTTTTATCAAGAACTATAAAAGTAGATCGAATTTGAGATATCGAGATAGTCATATGTTGTAATAGACACACTGTTAATTTCAGCTAAATTCAAATTTCGAGTGAATTGACAATTCAAGTCAAATGTTTTCAATGCCAAACAATGATAAGTGGTTTTTTGTCATTTTTGCCATTTATTTCTACAATATTACTATAGTTTTATCCTTAATTGAATCTTAAAAATTTCCTTTGACAAACTCTAAAAAGATTTATCAAAATCCGAATAACCGTTTAGGAGAAGTATCAAATCATACACCCGTACAGAAGAATTTTATATATAAGCATTTAAAAAAAACTTTCCATCAGAATTCTTATCAATGTTTTGACGAATTTTAAAGAATTTATAAATATGCAAATTAAAATGTATTATTATGTGCATTTATAAATATTTATTCTACGACAAACAAAAATGCACATTTGAATTTTTCAATATTACAATAAGAACAAATCAAACAGGGTCAAATTGTATTTACAATATTTAAAAGCTATAAAAAATTTTATATGACTTTATAAGATATAATAAGAATCAGAATTTAAATAAAAATGTTCTAAAATAATATTAAACCTAAATATATTTCTTTTTCTCAAAACTATATAATTTTTTATTTTAAATTTTGCCGCCGAAAAACTCGCAGTTGAAATGTTTTTAATGTTGTCTATCTTGATCTGTTGGTTATAAAAGGAAAATGGAGGAGAAATGTCAAATAGTTTATGGAATTATACGTCAAATTCGAAGATAAATTCATAGTAAAAGTCAGTTTTAGTATTATATAATATTTAAAAAAACGAATTAATAAATATCTAAACATATTTATTATGATACGCGTAAATTAAAAGTCTTCTCAACTTTTAAGAACGCATCGACAGTTTATTATAACCTACAAACGTCAAACATGTCTGACGAAACAAATTCGAACAAAACAATTAAATTCGAACCGATCGATGATTATCCTCAAGTGAAACAGGAATTTGATGATTATGAAAATACGTCAGATTTGTGTACGGATAATGATGATATATGTCTGCAGCAATTTCTAAAATCTGAGGTTACAATTGATGAGGAATTAAAACAAGAAACTATTGGTGACCAAGATGCTGCAAAAAATACAAACCAAATATTTTTACTTTGCATATATAACAAAGACATCACTAAATCGAGTAATTTAGTAGATGATACAGACGAACCATCTGAAAGAGTTTCAGAAAAATTTAAAAGTACTAATGATTTGAAACTCTACAAATGTAAAATATGCCTTAAAGCATTCAGAATAAAGCATTATTTAAACCAACATGAAAAGGTTCACACAGGACAAGGTCCCTATGAGTGCATGACATGCAATAAAAGATTTTTACAGTTATGTCATTTAAGAAGGCATTTATTAATTCATACTAAAAATTATAAATGTAATACATGCAATAAAACATTTGCATTGAAACATTCATTAAACCGGCATGAAGTGATTCACACCGGAGAACGCCCTCATGAATGCCCAACATGTAAAAAAAGATTTTCAGTGTTAGGTAGTTTAAGAAAGCATTTATCAACACATTTATCAACGCATTTATCAAAGAAATCTAAAGAACGATCTTATAAATGTGAAATATGCAATAAAGCTTTCAAAACAAAGCAAATATTAAAACTACATGTAACAGTTCACACCGAAGAACGACCTTATGAATGTGAAATCTGTAATAAAACGTTCAAAACAAAAAATGTATTAGACAATCACAAAATAGTTCACTCAGAAGGAGTAAATTATAAATGTGAAATATGTAATAAAGCATTCAAAGCAATGAAATATTTAAACAGACACAAAGCCCTTCACTCCGAAGAACGACATTATAAATGTGATAAATGCAATAAAGCATTCAAAACAAAAAAATGTTTAAACCAACATGAAGTGGTTCACACGGAAGAACGACCTTATAATTGTGAAATATGCTCTAAAACATTCAAGACAAAGCGACATTTAATTGATCATAAAGGAAGCCATACTGGAGAACCCCATACAAGAAACAATGAATAAAACTTTTGAATGACTCGTAAATCTCTCCCAACTTATAATCCTTTTCATTTACTCAATTTGTATTGATACAGGATAGCAATCGCAATTTATTTATTATATAATTAGTATTAATTATATAATTCAGTTACAACTCTAGTTTATCACTCATATACAATGTATTGTATGTAATTGTATTAAATATAAATGTTTAAATGATTATAAATAGAAAATTGTAACTGTTTTGTAATTACAACAATTGAAACTACTAGAGATTTTAAAATATTTTCATTAGCGCATTTTATTTTCCATAAAATATTTTTGTAATACTGGATTAAAAATTCAAAAAATTACCCAGACTAAGCACAGTCTAAGCGCCACTCTGGTGCAAATGTTTACCCAAGTGCGTTTAGACTGTTCATGTATTGGAGCACTTTTTCAATTTTGTGTAAATTAGGCAACTATTTTTTTTTCGAAATGAAATGACAATTGTTAATGTTCTGGAGATGAATTGATTTATGATTTACATTTGATTTGCTCAGATATAACAATATAATAGCAAAAATAATGAAAGTTACAGTATTTGTAAGAATATATATTTGAAAACGTTTGAAAATTTCTCGAATATTTCATTAAGGTACGGGAAGTTCCAGCAATTTGCCTTAAGCCTTACGGTGCCATACACCACTAGTTTTGTTTTATTTAAAGCTCTTCTATTTTTGTAAAAATATACAATATTTATCATTAACCACAAAAATTAGATACTTTATAATATTTAAACTATTAGCAGAATAATTGAGTAAACTTGTTAATTTTGTACAAAACCAAATGAACTGCAATAGAAAAAAAGATCATTATAATTCTAGTACTTGGTTAATTATATATTATATTCTAATGACCAAGTTTTATATTTACAGATATTGGAATACATTTCATTTTAAAAACATTTTTTCCATCTAATTACGGCCCTGTACTATTCCAATTACACAAAATCAATAACAATTAAAAAACTTACGTAAATCCATTATGTAATTTCAAATCGCGCGCGCATTATCGTCGCGCGTGAAGTCAGTCGATTTACATGTTGGCATAAGTGCTGCCACACTTTTTATTGACATATCGTCTGTTGTCAAAAGGAAAAATGGTCTTGTCAAAAAATATGAAAAAAATAACAAACAATTGATTAATTTTAATGTTTAATTGGTTTTTTAATTACTTAAATCATTGCCGCAAGTAATGGAATATTGTGGTGTGTTCAAATGCGTGGTGGAAGTTTGATAAATAACCTTATGTGTGTGGTAAGTATTCCTAGTGTAAAAACTTGTAATCAAAATATTTATGTTTAATTTTTGTTGATTCAACCCTCTAATACGTATTTATAAACTTTTCAATAAAATGCTTTATTTTAACATTAATAAACATAAATCGTGATAGTATATGTATATGATAGTATATGTTGATATCTACACTGATAACAATTTTTTTTTTTACAAATTTTTTGATCTTCAAAAGCGCAAATGTATAAATACTAATAATAACTATTTATCATGTATACAAGCTGTCTAGATTATACTGATAAAGATTTTTATGAAGATGCTTTTGAAAATAGCAGGAATGTAAACATGAAGTACGAAGAACACAATTTGATTGCTCAGGGCTTTTAGTAATTTTCATATTCTTGTATAATCAATAGACTCGTGGGATGTAGTTTATTTATAAAAAAGCCGTGCAAGTGAGAAAATTTATATATAGTAAAATCTTGTTGAGTGTAAAACGGTAAGAAAACTCTTGTATTGCTGTTTCAATTGATTTAGTTTTTCAAGTAAAGACAAGTAAATTTGGTGAAGTAAATCCTTTGCAAATTGTATACATTAATAAAAGCTAGAAAACATTCACTAAAATCTGGTAAAAGCACTTACATAATGAAATTTTGAATTAAACTTGTCGGAACATTTTTCTTGTAATTATTAGCAATGTGATTTTTGACATTTTTTTAAATTTTTTTGAATACCGTAGAAACTTTGTTCCAACCTTCTTGTTTTATATACATAAATAAAAACTAGATAAAATTTACCAAAATTTAGTAAAAACTGTTATTTACACTTGGATATTGAAATTTTGAATAATTCATAGTTGAAATGCACACTCTAGTATTTTAATAATTAGCAATATATGGATTTAGAACATTTTTTTTACTATTCTTCAAGTAACTTTTAATTTTTGTATTGGGCATTATAATTTGTTTTTATTAGTAAAAACTGGATAAAATTTACTAGTATATAATCATGACTAAAAGTCAAATTTTGGTTCACAAACACACTTATTCGAATTATAATCAGAATGACTATAAAAACAATTTTAATTTCAAACTTTGCTTTCGGAAAGTTAATAATCTAGAATCTAGACTATTTCTATCAGATACAAGATGATTCATGTTTAGAGCTTTATTTTATTAAGTAGTAGAAAATTTCATACCAGAAAATCAATTCAAATATTGCTATTAATCTAGCAATAATCAGGAATTTATCTAATCACGAATTTTAAGTGTATATACTATGATATTTGTATTAGAGGGTTGTAAATATTAGTTTTTAAGTAATCTCAATAAAGCAGACTTGCAATAGTCTAGTACCCAATTTTACTTGTTATAGAAATATAGTTAAAACTAGTGATGTGCCAACTCGAATCAAGTGATTAAAAACATTCGAATCAAACCCTTATTGTTATTCGAATCATGTTTTACCTGGTTTGTAAAACTGAGAAATATGTATGTACAGCGAAACAATATATATGAACATAATTTTACTAAATATAAAAAAATTATTTTAATAAATTTGAATTGAATAAAATTAATCCAGTTCAATCTACTTTTGAACAGATATAACAGCGTTATTGTATGATGATTTATTACCGTCAAAAAAAAAATTATGAAAATCATTGAAAAAAATTTTTTTAACACCATTACAAGAAAACGGCTCGGCCGATCTTTACCAAAAAGCTAATCAGCACGATTCCCAACCAATATCTTTCGAACGGTTTTTGAACTTCCAAAATCGATTCAGAATTGCGGGCTAAAACGTGGACGAAAAATTTTTCACTTTTCTGCGATTTACAAAGAAACGGCCCGGCCGATCATCGCACAAGACTGAGAAACGCTAGTCCTCATCGAGATACATCGAATGGCTTTTAAATTTTTGAAATCGGTCTAGTCGTTTTTGAGAAAACGTCGATTTGAGATAAAAAATCTGTTCACACACACACACACACACACATACTTTTGGTCCAAATGTTGGTCTCATTCGGTTCAGAATGGCTTGAAACGTCCAGCAGAAATCATAAAATTAACAAATCGGATTTTTTGATAAAAACATAAACTCCTCCTTCGGGAAGTTAACTAGTGGTGCATGGCATTGTGCCTTAAGGCAAATTGCTAGAACTTCCCGTACCAAATTTTTTTTTTAAAGATTCTGCTACATACAAAGAAACGGCTCACTTTTTCCAAATGTTGGTCTCATTCGATTCAGAATGGCTTGAAACGTCGAAAAACATAAAATAAACAAATTGAATTTTTTTGTTGAAAACAAACTTCTTCGGGAAGTTAAAAATTGTCATCCCGGTTTTGACTAAAAAAATATGGTGACCATAGATTTACTAAACAAATACATCGATGAATCATTTTTGTCTTAGCTTATATTTGTCCATAATATATATATAGGCTTGATTCGAGTTGATTTGGATCAAGATTTTTTCTGACTCGAATCACTAGTGAAAATATATAGTTGTCTAATTACAAAGTACTCGGATTACACAGCAAGTCTGCTACAATCACCCTTTCATGTTTTAACAAATTACTTTCCGTCCTTTCCAGCATAGACCCAATTCAAATCGACAAGCAACCATCACAATTCCCTGTTAATAATAATGAAAGCCGTCACAAACACCATAAGCTCCTCCTGATAATGCTTCAAAAATCCACAAACTCAAACAAATCATCACAAATGTACAGAAATTTTCGTCTCTGATGCACCATCCTGTCGACAAATTACTTTACATCACCCGGAACCTCTGCTGGTGTCACCGTGATGAATTCTTGTAAAAATTTGACAAAAAATGGAAGACGCAAAGTCTGACTGTTTTGAAATCTGGAGGCACAGCAAATGGAGGGACAGCGGGCATAATAATAAAATTTCGAGGGGGGAAAGCAGAAACAATAATATTGTATACATTATTAATTAAGTAGGGTTTATGTGTAGTCAATTCTTGTTCAAGCCATATATAGTTACTTATACATCGTGCCATATCTGTATAGTTGTATGTATATATTGTATAATTAGTAAGTCGCATAAGTCATCTTACAATGGCTTCGGACAGCTCAAAATTTGCAGGATACGCACAATGGCGTTCTGAGGAAAGTAGGGTTTTATTAAACGGTAATGTAAGTGGACACAGGAATTCTTCATCTCTGTGCAGACAAGTCAACGCCAAAAAAGCTTTGGTTTTATTAGTACTTATGTCGGCTATCACTATTTTGTGCTACGCACATTACGTAATGAATTCACCATTCACCAGCCTGATACTAGAGACACAGTACCCACACCTTTGGTGCAATGCAGATTAGGACTCGCCAAAAATGATTATCAACAAAGCGATCATAGAAGTGAAGCCAGATTAAGAATAGACCCTAAAGTCCTAGTTTTTGTTGAAACCACCTACACGCAACTTGGCAGAGACATTGCGGAACTTCTAGTCCACACCAGGATCAAGTACAAATTAGAAGTCGCAGGGAAAAGTTTACCCGTATTAACAAATTTAGACAAAGGACGTTACGGTGTCATTGTTTTTGAAAACATCGAAAAGTACTTTATGATGGACAAATGGAACCGTGAGCTCTTAGACAAATATTGCAGAGAGTACTCTGTTGGCATCATCGGTTTCATGAAACCCAGTGAAGAAACTTTAGTCGGGGCACAACTGCAAGGATTTCCTTTATTCATACACACTAACCTGCGTTTACAAGATGCGTCATTGAATCCTAAGTCACCTATTTTAC